CTTACGAGCCACCGTTTTTGATGTATATACTATACTCAAATTCTAGCGGCTTCAAATCAAGCAGGAGAAAGCTGGTAGGCCCACACGTGAGAGAATGGGTCTGTGTGGTCAGTGTGCACCATATAAAAAATCATGCAGCACGCAGCGCATAATGAGAAAAAAAAACTACTTTTTTTTTAATTAAAATGCCAAATTTGTGGTCTATTTTCGTATAGTATTTATGGTTGTATTCTCATTTTCTTGGTCTCATTTGATAGAATGGAGAACATATTATAGAAATAGAGGTGATTTTGATTGGTTTTACTATGAAAAGAACCTTGAACTGGAACTCAAAGTAGGGGAAATGCTTGATTTTTTGCCGATGTTCAAAAGTAAACAAATGGTGTTTTTTTTCCAATAAATGCAGTCATGAATGGGTTGACATTATTTATACAATTATTACAATATTGCAGGAGTCTGCATAACAGTGAATCTTCTATTTTTTGTTTGAATAAAAATTCAAAATAGAAAGCAAGAGTAATATCAGAGGGGCCTGGAGACGTGACTGATGAACAAAGAAAATGTTATTTTAGAGCCAGGAATGTCTGCATTGTTCATTCTAGACTATTTTGAAATTGTCATTTTTTAATTTTCGTGAAATTGGCCAAACTGCAAAGTTCTGATCACGTTATTGGGTAGCTGAAATCGGTAAATGGGCAGTTTCTTGTACTCAGTTGATAGAAAAAATGGCGTTCTAAAGAAATAGCTATGAGTTTGGTCGACCGGAACAATGGAATTAGCTGAAAATAGGGCTCAAAGTGGGCGAAATTGCAGATTCGTAAATATCGCTGAGGTCGCTAACTTTGCGAGAGCCTAATTACATCAGTTTTCCATCGAATTTCTTTCTTTTGGTATCATTACAATCGGGAAAAGATTCTCTATCATTTCATAAGATTTTTTTTTTTTGGGGGGGGGGGGGGGGGGGGATTTTGCGACATCAGGAGACACCTCAGGATTTGGGGTTGCAACAGTCAAGGAGTTAATACTTACTATGCTGTAGTATAAATACCTGCACAAAACTATACTGCCTTACACCATATTGTAGCATTCTCATACTGTAAACTACTTTCATCATTATTCAATATTATATTCCAATAATATAACTTAAATATTTACTATTGATATACACAACCTACAAAATACTTTCAAATTGTCCCAATGTGATATCCCCAGATTGTAACTTGAGTTAATTTACCATCTGTTTTAAATAAAAACAGATGTACAACTTAAACAATGATCAATTTCTCTAGTATTAAGTAGTCTGTATGCCATTAATTTAGTCTGCCCATAATGCTGTGGCATGATAGTGGCTCTCTCTGCACTGCAACTCATTATTGTAACTACAGAAACTCAATGTAAACTTGCAAAGAAATAAAAATTGTATTGTATTGTATTATTTAGAGCAGATACCTGGGTGTGAGTCGACTCTTGGGAAGACTAAGAGATTCCTGTGAAAATAAGCCACAATGCCTGGTTTTTCTTGGGTTACTAATTCTCAAGTTAATAACCTAAATAAAATCTTACCTGAACAATATTTTAATGCAATTCATTTTATCCCATAAACATATGAAATTAACATTCTAAATGGATGAATTGTTAATAAGTGTTAATGGGTTAACCAATATTTATTATAATTGTGAATTTATGCAGCCAGGCTCCTTGCTTCTGCTTCAGAATCTCCACGACTACGGTGCTCTTTGCACCTACTCCAAGGTTGAGGGACTGATTACCTCTTCTTCTGTATATAGTCCTACTGTCTTCAAACTATGTCCTAGAATTTGTATTGATAAAGCCACTGGATGGCGAAACGTCTACAATAAAGATACCCAAATGTTGCACATGTGTCTTAATTTCATCAAAATAAAATCTCAATCTAAATCTAAATATTATGGAAGTGCTAAGTCGAAAGAGGTCATATGACACATAGAGAACAAAAAAGTAGGTAGCTTTGACCCAAGGCAGAGTACCTCAAATTCTTTTGGATCAAGAAATTTTCACCAGAATTAAGGAAACCTCCATGAAGAGAGACATTGATTACATATTTATTTAGGTTTTGTATATACCTGATAATTTACAAGTTTTTCTTACACTGGTCTTCAGCCCACAGGTGTTAATGGTACACATACAGTACATATGTAGTTAACCTAGGATAACCCAATAAAATCAAATAGAATGACATAGTATTTGATTGGGGCCTCTTGTAAGTAATGTATTTCTACAACCATGAGAGCAGCACTGTATGACCCTGGTGGGTTTAGCTTTTAGTTTTGATAATAATGATAATAATAATAATAAATTTATTATTAATACAACCACGAGAGGCGCGCTAAATATATAAAGGAGTGGGTCATAGTCTCTATGGGAATGGGAAGAAATTAAATTCAATTCAAGGAAAGAGGCCAGGTTGACCACCATGGACCAGGAACCCACCACTACAACACAACACTGCAACACAACACTACAACACTACGACACTGCAACACTACAACAACACTACACTACGGTGGCCTGGTGGCTAAAGCTCCCGCTTCACGCACGGAGGGCCCAGGTTCGATTCCCGGCGGGTGGAAACATTTCGACACGTTTCCTTACACCTGTTGTCCTGTTCACCTAGCAGCAAATAGGTACCTGGGTGTTAGTCGACTGGTGTGGGTCGCATCCTGGGGGACAAGATTAAGGACCCCAATGGAAATAAGTTAGACAGTCCTCGATGACGCACTGACTTTCTTGGGTTATCCTGGGTGGCTAACCCTCCGGGGTTAAAAATCCGAACGAAATCTTATCTTATCTTATCTTAACACAACAACACTAAAACACCAAAACACTACAACACAACAACACTACTACACAACATTACAACACTACTACACAACATTACAACACTACTACACTACAACACAACATTACAACACAACACTACAACACCACTACACTACAACACAATATTACAACACTACAACACAACATTACAACACAACACTACAACACTACAACACAACAACACAACATTACAACACAACATTACAACACTACAACACATTACAACACATTACAACACTACTACACAACACTACAACACAACACTACACTACAACACTGCAATGCTACAAACATTACAACATGCAACACTACACTACAACACTGCAACAACAACACTACAACACAACACTGCAATGCTACAACACTACACTACAACATTACAACACTACACTACAACACTGCAATGCTAAAACTACAACACTACAACACAACAACACAACACTACTACACTGCAACACTACAACACAACATTACAACACTACAACACAACATTACAACACTACAACACAACATTACAACACTACTACACTACAACACAACATTACAACACTACTACAACACTACATTACAACACTACTACAACATTACACCACTACACTACAACATTACAACACTACACTACAAACACTACATTACAACACCACTACACTACAACACTACAACATTACACCACTACACTACAACACTACAACATTACAACACCACTACACTACAACACTACAACATTACACTACAACACAACAACACAACATTACAACACTACTACACAACACTACAACACAACACTACAACACTGCAATGCTACAACACTACAACATGCAACACTACACTACAACACTGCAACACAACACTACAACACAACACTGCAATGCTACAACACTACACTACAACATTACAACACTACACTACAACACTGCAATGCTACACTACAACACTACAACACAACAACACAACACTGCAACACTACAACACAACATTACAAACACAACATTAACAACACTACTACACTACAACACAACATTTACAACACTACTACAACACTACATTACAACACTACTACAACATTACAACACCACTACACTACAACACTACAACATTACAACACCACTACACTACAACACTACAACATTACAACACCACTACACTACAACACTACAACATTACAACACCACTACACTACAACATTACAACACCACTACACTACAAAACTACATTACAACACAACACTACAACATTACAACACTACACTACAACACAACATTACAACACAACACTACAACACAACACTACAACACTGCAACACTACAACACAACATTACAACACTACAACACAACATTACAACACTACTACACTACACCACTACAACATTACAACACCATTACAACACAACATTACAACACAACATTACAACACTACAACACCACAACACAACATTACAACACTACACAACATTACAACACTACTACACTACAACATTAACACCACTACACTACAACACCACTACACTACAACATTACAACACTACTACACTACAACACAACATTACAACACTACAACACAACACTACAACACTACAACACAACATTACAACACTACTACACTACAACACTACAACACAACACAACAACATTACAACACTACAACACCACTACAACACAACATTACAACACTACAACACAACATTACAACACTACTACACTACAACACAACACTACTACACTGCAACACAACATTACAACACAACATTACAACACTACTACACTACAACACAACATTACAACACTACAACACCACTACACTACAACACAACACTACAACACAACATTACAACACTGCAACACTTCCCTTCAGGACAGTAGTTATGTTACATGTTATATCACCGAGTCCTATAAATAAAGTATACATCTACATGTACTACATAATACACACCTAATACAATTACCTCTATCAAAAACATAGTTATTACCTCCATTAAACAATACTACATTTGCTTATATGAAATTAAAAATGTTTATTTTATTCATAGGTAAATCAAAGCAGGAGGTCGGGCATAAATTTTCAACCTAATTATTCCTGGTACCATAATACCTTGGTGGCGGGTGCCAATATTAGCAGTAATACAAGTGGTGTAATATCTTACTTGGATCGTATTCACAAGGTTTGATGTGAGTGTCTTCACTCTGATGGTTCTCCATGACAAGTTAGATGACAACAGCACACACACAACTCGAGGTTTGTTTACCACCATGTAACCTCTCACCCCCGCCTCCACACACTCATCTACTACACTATCAATTATATTGTCTATCGTCATTCAGGTCTTTTTTCATATGGAAAATGCTTGATTCTTTTATATATAGCGATGAATGTGACATAGAATAGAAAGTGAGTTTATTATGTAGAATGATTTTTATGATATACAAGATAATGTTATTTTGCATTTGTAAGTATGGTAACAAAGATTTTCGACGACTCTTGTTAAAAACTATGTAAATTATCATTCCTATAATATGTAATGATTCATTACATTGAAAATAAGGCACAGTTGCTTTTTGGGTTATCCTAGGTTAAATCTACAGAGTTTGTCACACATATATTCCCGAAATAATTATATTTATTGCAGCCAGTGAATAAATGCATAAAAATCTCAAAACACATGCAGAGAACCTGAATAAAGCTTATTTTATTGATGTTTTGCAATTAAACATTAAATCCCTCCTTTACCTAGGACAGAAAAGTTAAGTTAAACATCTGTATAATTTGCAAAGTTGATATGTCGCACTCCACTTTTTTTCATTTAAAAGTGAAATTTCTTCAATTATTTAAATGCTATATGGATTTATATATAGTTTTTTCATCGAGTGTGAATGCACAAAGTGTCAAACCTACTTGCCGGACCTTCTCGAATGTGCAGCACCATGAGTGTGCACGATAATTACTGTATATGTCGAGCTCTCTCTTACCATTGTCTATATATGATGATTCCTCAAGTCCCGCAGCTGTGTAACTAACTTACCAGTATTAACACTGCATCTATTTCTTTTCTGTAAAGAGTTCATTACAACTGTACTTTGCTTAACTAAAAATGTTAGGGTCAAGTTCTTGGACCCAGTATGTACTTTTCTGTAATGTATTGACTACCGCCCACGTCAAAACTATTTTACTAATAAATATTCACGTATGAATCTCATCCTTTGTGACAAAATGTAACAAATACAATCATTTTTTGTTGCCACAGCCGCGTAACTAATAAATAAAAACATGATTATAACTATAACCATCGGTCAGATGACCAGAAGCCCCAACGGCGGGTCAACATCTGACTAAGACTCGCGTCAGGAAACACTTGGCCAGTTTCCTGACGAACCTTACCTAACTTAACCTAATATAGAATAGGATGAGGAAAGACGTCTAGATAAGCTTAATCTCATTACACCTGCCTATTCATTACTAGTAGTAAAACCAGACTTAAGTCACTGCATGATCCCAGAGGTATTTTCTTTATTACATAACTTCCTCAGTCCCTGTACCTCATCCCACGCTGGTGGCTTAGTAGCTGTACCTCAACCCACGCTAGAGGCTTAGTAGCTGTACCTCAACCAACCCAAGAGGCTTAGCAGCTGTACCTCAACCCACGCTAGAGGCTTAGTAGCTGTACCTCAACCCACGCTAGAGGCTTAGTAGCTGTACCTCAACCAACGCTAGAGGCTTAGTAGTTGTACCTCAACCCACGCTAGAGGCTTAGTAGCTGTGCCTCAACCCACGCTAGAGGCTTAGTAGCTGTACCTCAATCAACGCTAGAGGCTTAGTAGCTGTACCTCAACCCACACTAGAGGCTTAGCAGCTGTACCTCAACCCACGCTAGAGGCTTAGTAGCTGTACCTCAACCAACGCTAGAGGCTTAGTAGCTGTACCTCAGCCCACGCTAGAGGCTTAGTAGCTGTACCTCAACCCACGCTAGAGGCTTAGCAGCTGTACCTCAACCCACGCTAGAGTCTTAGTAGCTGTACCTCAACCCACACTAGAGGCTTAGTAGCTGTACCTCAGCCCACGCTAGAAGCTTAGTAGCTGTACCTCAACCAACGCTAGAGGCTTAGTAGCTGTACCTCAACCCACGCTAGAGGCTTAGTAGCTGTACCTCAACCCACGCTAGAGGCTTAGTAGCTGTACCTCAACAAACGCTAGAGGCTTAGTAGCTGTACCTCAACCCACGCTAGAGGCTTAGCAGCTGTACCTCAACCCACGCTAGAGGCTTAGCAGCTGTACCTCAACCCACGCTAGAGGCTTAGTAGCTGTGCCTCAACCCACGCTGGTGGCTTAGTAGCTGTACCTCAATCCACGCTGGTGGCTTAGTAGCTGTACCTCAACCAACGGAAATATAAACACAAATGCAGTATAATGTGATCCTTTATTGACTACGTTTCGCCCACACAGTGGGCTTTTTCAAGTCACAAACAGAACTGTTTGTGACTTGAAAAAGCCCACTGTGTGGGCGAAACGTAGTCAATAAAGGATCACATTATACTGCATTTGTGTTTATATTTCCATTGTGTCGGTATTTTATACCATTTATTTCCACCTCAACCAACGCTAGAGGCTTAGTAGCTGTACCTCAACCCACGCTGGTGGCTTAGTAGCTGTACCTCAAACAACGCTAGAGGCTTAGTAGCTGTACCTCAACCAACGCTAGAGACTTAGTAGCTGTACCTCAACCCACGCTAGAGGCTTAGTAGCTGTCCCTCAACCCACGCTAGAGGCTTAGTAGCTGTACCTCAACCCACGCTAGAGGCTTAGTAGCTGTACCTCAACCCACGCTAGAGGCTTAGTAGCTGTACCTCAACCAACGCTAGAGGCTTAGTAGCTGTACCTCAACCCACGCTAGAGGCTTAGCAGCTGTACCTCAACCCACGCTAGAGGCTTAGCAGCTGTACCTCAACCCACGCTAGAGGCTTAGTAGCTGTACCTCAATCAACGCTAGAGGTTTAGTAGCTGTACCTCAACCAACGCTAGAGTCTTAGTAGCTGTACCTCAACCCACGCTGGTGGCTTAGTAGCTGTACCTCAACCCACGCTAGAGGCTTAGTAGCTGTACCTCAACCCACGCTAGAGGCTTAGTAGCTGTACCTCAACCCACGCTAGAGGCTTAGTAGCTGTACCTCAACCCACGCTAGAGGCTTAGTAGCTGTACCTCAACCCACGCTAGAGGCTTAGTAGCTGTACCTCAACCCACGCTAGAGTCTTAGTAGCTGTACCTCAACCCACGCTAGAGGCTTAGTAGCTGACCTCAACCCACGCTAGAGGCTTAGATAGCTGTACCTCAACCCACGCTAGAGGCTTAGTAGCTGTACCTCAACCCACGCTAGAGGCTTAGTAGCTGTACCTCAACCCACGCTAGAGGCTTAGTAGCTGTACCTCAACCCACGCTAGAGGCTTAGTAGCTGTACCTCAACCCACGCTAGTCTTAGTAGCTGTACCTCAACCCACGCTAGAGGCTTAGTAGCTGTACCTCAACCCACGCTAGAGGCTTAGTAGCTGTACCTCAACCCACGCTAGAGGCTTAGTAGCTGTACCTCAACCCACGCTAGAGGCTTAGTAGCTGTACCTCAACCCTCGCTAGAGGCTTAGTAGCTGTACCTCAACCCACGCTAGAGGCTTAGTAGCTGTACCTCAAACCCACGCTAGAGGCTTAGTAGCTGTACCTCAACCCACGCTAGAGGCTTAGTAGCTGTACCTCAACCCTCGCTAGAGGCTTAGTAGCTGTACCTCAACCCACGCTAGAGGCTTAGTAGCTGTACCTCAACCCACGCTATAGATTTATTAGCTGTACCTCAGAATCCTCAAGAAGTAGATGAGAGGCACCTACACTCCTTCAAGAGGCCCCAGAGTTATAACTCAGACCTTCCACAAGGTCCAGGAGCTGCAGAAGCACATTTTAGCCACATGGCTGGCTAATATATATATTTGTCAAAATTTAATGCGTAATAAAAGAGTACGTTTTATTATTTCTTTATTTTCTTTTCGAAGTAATATTAGATTTTTTTTATTTAAAGGCCTGTAAAAAAATATGGTTAGGTAAGGTTGGTCAGGAAACAAGACAAATGTTTCCTGACGCTGGTCATAGTCAGATGATGATCCGCAGTTGGAGTTTCGGTCATCTGACCGAGGCCTTCCGCTGGCTTACCAGTCCACCCTTTCAAAAATTATAGTCATAATTGTAACCATTATTTTCATCATTCTTAAGAAAACTGCCCTAGCAGGACAGCATCGATGAATCTTTGGTTGCCATGTCCATAGAGGTTACTTTACAATCTTCTAACCATACCTGGAGGAGTATACCTGAAGGAGTATACCTGGAGGGGTTGTCGGGGGGTCAACGTCCCCGCGACCCGGTCACTGATTTTCATTAGGAAATGGGAGAGGGTGGGAGATAAGAATTACATGGGTGTCACTGATGCAAGAGACTGATCTCTGTCAAACTGGCGACAGTTGTTCTTCAGTGGAAGATGTGCTGGAAAATACTATTATCCCGATATTCCATAAGCCTAGCCTCTTCTACCTCAATACCTCAAGTTAGTGACCACGCTTCGAGCCCCTCGTCCACCCTTCTGTTTATGCAATGACTGTTGTCTATTTCAGCACATTTCCATGAGAAAATTTTAGAAAGGACTTGATTTTAAATGATTTCTTGCTAATTGACCAGTTTTACCTATTCAGCACGACATGTACACACACACACAGGAGGCAGGATCCATACATAGCTTTAAGCAGAGGTATGATAAAGCTCACGGTTCAGGGAGAGTGACCTAGTAGCGATCAGTGAAGAGGCGGGGCCAGGAGCTCGGACTCGACCCCGCAACCTCAACTAGGTGAGTACAACTAGGTGAGTACACACACACACACACACACACACACACACACACCACACACACACACACACACACACATATATTTATGCAAACAATCGCAGACAGGCGGAGGCATTGACCCCCGGAACTCTCTCCAAGTAAACTCCAGGTACTCCAGATGAGGATAACAAAAAGACTAGGTGACGAAAGATTGGATATCAGATTGGAGGGAGAGAGTATGGAGGAGGTGAATGTATTCAGATATTTAGGAGTGGACATGTCAGCAGATGGGTCTATGAAGGATGAGGTGAATCATAGAATTGATGAGGGGAAAAAGGGTGAGCGGTGCACTGAGTAGTCTGTGGAGACAAAGAACTTTGTCTGTGGAAGCAAAGAGGGGAATGTATGAGAATATAGTTATACCAACACTCTTAT